AATTCAAGACCTCTCACATACCTCTCAGAAGATCTGGATGACTTAATACCTCTTTCTCCGTCCATGTTTTTACAAGAGATCTCGACGGTGGGAGTACCTGATTTAGATCAGCTGGATACAATAGATCTTAAAAAACGCTATAGGTATCAACAGACGTTAAGAGAACAGTTGAGAAAAAGATTTCGCCGCGAATACCTAGCGACACTCCTTCAACCGCGCAAGAAGAATAACTATTATGATCTAAAGGTTGGCGAGATTGTGTTAATCGAAGATGACTTAAAGAAAAGATTACACTGGCCGATGGCTAAAGTTATTGCCGTCTATCCTGGTAAAGATAAAAGGATACGCGTGGCTCGACTTAAAACAGCACATACCGAGTTTTTGAGGCCAGTGCAGCGGATTTATCCGCTGGAAATACGTTCGACACCAAATGAAGGTTCAACTCCAATCGCAAGCGCAACTTCAAATGAAGGTGACAAGCATAAAAATTTCCAAAGTACCTTACGAAACATCGTTACCACAAGAAGCGGCCGAACGGTTAAGATTCCATCAAGATATTTGGACACATAATTTTAAATTTATATTAGATTTTTTGTTATTTTGATTATTGGAATACACATAATCAAAAGGTGGGAGTGTTACGTCACTCTCATAAGATGACGTCATTCATTTAAAGTGTAAATATTAACTAAAACGATTTTTTAGCCTGTGTATATATGAAAAGTGTGAGTGGCAACAGAAAGAATGTTGTGCTAGATGTGTTCTACGAAAATAAAATGGTTGCTTTTGTAAATATGTGTACGCAGGTATTTCTTGTAAATTTAAGTTATTTCATCGCTGGATAGATCGGGTAGATTTATCGGAAGCACGAAACACCCAGTCTTTCCCCCGTAGTGGGATACGATTGGGAGTTTGACCTTTTCTAGGGAAAAAAAATCCTTAATAAAGATAGTAGTTGATTTAAGAACAACTAAAATGAAAATTTAGCACTCAGGGTGCCAGTACTATTTACCGCAAAATCCATTTTACCGTTAAATTTTGCAGAACAAAAATTACGTTATTTTTGCTGTAATATTTACGGTGAATCACTGTTATTGAAAAAATTATGGTACAGAATTTTATGGTAAAAAAGGTTTTCACAGTAACCTTTACGCTCAGGGTGCCAGTACTTTTTATCGTAATATGATTCGGAATCTACTACAGTGCATTCACAATTTTGTGAATGTGTGAAAATATTAAGGTATTTAACTAATAGTTGATTTCAATGATCCAAAATTTGTAAAAAGGCAGTTAACGGTTCCAATTTTTTCCTAAAATGACTCTTGCTATTTTTTATAGAAAAATAAAGACATGATACTAAATAATTAAAAATTTATTTGTAGACATGCTTTATCGATATTTTGTACTCGCATTGTGACTTATTTTTATACTTACTATGCACGTTTGAGTTATATTTTATTTAACAGTGAGACGTAAGCATCAACTTGGAAAACCAATCTCGCTATGAAATCATATTTACGATACATTAGAGAAAATGGGTTATTTAAGTAGTGGGTGCTTACTTAGTTCGTACTATTCTCAATTTGGTGTAATAGTCGTATCTACCCATTACCTTATTGTCGGTCTCCTTAGACATTATACTTAAAGACAGATAAAAGCCTCTTATCTTTTATCTTCATTATTATTATTGATATTTATTGTAACTATACCAAAATATTCTCTAATAAATGTTGTATGAGAATATAAATATGATATAGAATAAATACAATGATAATGGATTATATTTACGGTAATTTTTATTTTTTTCACTGTGGTGTTTATTTTACTTTTATAAAAAATTTGAATTTGATTAATTCATGAAGCTTAAAACGTTTAATTATGTTTTAGTTGATAATATAATGGCAATGGATTTTTTCGGATTGAAAATTCTTTTAAAATTTTGCTTTAATAAAGAAAAACTTAAAATATTAAAAAATTGAAAAATATGCCTTTAAGAATTGCTAAATGTTTTTTATAAATAAAAAAAAACATATTTTTTTCTTGTATTTCAAGTTAGACTAAAACGTTTTTAACTTAAGATTATGATAAAAAAAAACTCACCTTCATAAGAAATTTCACTTAATAATTTTGCATAAAAACAGCAGATATTACGCAATTAAAAAATTACGGTTCTATACATTTTACCAAGAAAATTTCAGAACCTAGATTAGCTTAAATATTTTGAGAAAGTTAAAGTAGCACTGACATCGTACCTAAGATATGAAGACTTTGGATTTAAGAACTGACTGATCTGATTTTGATCAAATTTTAACATATTCTTCATCAATCTAAAGAATGTGTAAAAATAAATTATAATATTGCCCCTCTCTTACAAACTATTAATATCTGTAAATTATTTGCTTCACAAAAGTTGTTAATTATTTTTCGAAAAAAAAGTTTTTTTAATGTTTTTTAATTAATTTTTAAATACAATTTTAAATTATGAATAAGAACAAAACTTCCTTCAGCAAACGATTTTAAAAAATATATTTTTCAAAATCATTCTCTAATTTTTAATTTCGATTTTTGAACTCCTGATACTCTGTAGCTCATTATGCATTTTGAAATTTTTTTTTATACTAAACGAACCTAAGTCTAAAACCTAAATAAGTTTATACTGGAGAAAAACGGTTCCAGTTCACGCGTAGACGAGGAGGATAAAGAAAAGTTATTGATCAACGTTATTGATCGGAAAGGAATTTAAAAAAAAGATTTAAAAAAAGAGACAATTTTTAAATTTTACTTTTTTTAAACATAAAAAATTATAAAATTCATTTAAATTTTTAGGTTACATAAATAAATGATGACATTCGTGTTTATTTTTATTTTTTAAGATTTCAGTCGAATGCTTGCTCCCGGAAATTCTCAAAGCGCGAAATTCGTTTTCTTAAAATAATATTTTCTCTCTTGATCTTCAACTTCATTTTCGCCATGCTTTAAAATACTCTTAAATAATTTATAACAGCTTTTAGTTCATTTTTATGTAAATCGTCGTGAGCATTGTGAGACATTTTGAAGTTAATAGGTCATCGTCAGAAATAAGTAAAAAAAATCATAAGCGACCGTATATGATGTCCTTGAAGAATAAACAATTGGTAGTATGATAACCTGAATAATAGTATTTAAAAATGCAAAACAGTTTCACACCGCTTTCATAATAATTTTCCTTTATGATGTTGATTATTACATTTACTTTATATCTTACAATAATTTTCCCAGAATGATTTTTTATTAATTATGTAACACTGATTGCAAAATTTTTTTACATTTTCACATTCAGTGACATTTTCTTTTACATAAAATTACATTATTTTAATTAATAGAATGGAAAATTTCGGTAGGGTGGTCTACGGTAGAATAATCACACCAAGTTCTGTTAACTTTCGGGCAGCTAACAAAAAACTTTTAAGAAAAATAGCAAAAGGGGCCAATTTGAAGAGGATAACTTATTGCAACCCCTAAAAATACCACTACATGTATTATCATTTTTTTAATTCACAAGTTTACAATTCATTTGGCGCCTTGGTGATTGTTGTTCGTATGACAGATATCGATACGGAAATATCCCAAAAAGGCAAATTTCCCCCAATACTTGATCCAGGAGTTCCCTTGTCTTCTGGATTGAGTTCAAAATTACAAGACTACGGAGTTGAACTTTAGTGGTCGTAAACCCGAAATTGGATCACCTGTTCAGCGACGATTATAAAATAAAATAATTCTAATATAAAGCCATATTGGCTAACTAGATAGAGCACTCGCCTTCCAATGAAGTTACTCGGATTCAATCCCAGTCATAGATTGGTGATACGAATTTCACACCCGTCTCGCACCAACCACAGTGCTGACGTAAAATATAATCAGTGTCAGACGGATCATTGGTTTGAATCAGCTCACCACCAAGCTGACAGTGGGAGGTTTTCGTGATTTAAACCTCTAGATGTAACGCAAAAGCGGTTAAATTATTTCAAAAAGTCCTCCACGAAGGCAAATTTTTTCCAATTTGTTCAAAATTACAAGGCTACGGAGTTGAACATTGGTAGTCGCAATCGCAAAATTGGGTCAGCTGTTCAACGACGGTTATATAAAAAAATACATAATTTCAAGGGCCGGGATAGCCTGGTTGGTAGGACACTGGGCCCATGTACAAGAGGTCGTGGGTTCGATCCCCGCCTGCCGAAGATTCCCTGGGTAATAAATGGTTACTGGTGCACGTTAAATCTCTCGAGTCACAAAGTTCTCCATGTTCCCATTAAAAATCACAACTCTGGGGGTATTGATGCAGGAGTTTCCATATCTTCTGGATTGGGTTCAAAATTACAAGGTTACGGAGTTGTACATTGGTTGTCGTAAACCCAAAAATTGGGTCGGCTGTCCAACGACAGTTATAAAATAATTCTAACATGAATAATGGTGGCTCAAGGTTTATAGCGCATACCTCCCAATGAAATAATCCAGGTTTGAACCCCAGCGGTCGCTGTTTGATACGAATTCTTCTCCTGGTTCGCACCGACCATGTTGACGTAAAATATCCTTAGTGGTGGACGGATAATAGATTTGAATTCCCTTGCTGTCGGACAAACCGTGGGTCAATTTCGTGGTTTTCCACTTCATGCAACGCAAATGCGTATTAGTTCCATCAGAAAGTCCACCACGGAGGCAAGTTTGTCTCAATACTTGATGCAGGAGTTCCCTTGTCTTCTAGATTGGGTTCAAAATTACAAGGCTATGGAGTTGAACAATTGTAGTCGTAAACCCAAAACTTGGATCGGCTGTTCAACAACGGTTATAAAATAAAATAAATGAAAACCGTGATATATCATGGTTATAATCCTCTTGCTGGAGGGCTAACCGTGGAAGGTTTCCGAGGTTTTTCACTCCTTGTAACTCAAATGCGGGTGAGTTCAATCAAAACCACGAAGGCTAGTTTGTCTCAATGCTTGACCCAGATGTTCCCTTGCTTTGTTCCTTTGTAGTCCATAGATATTCCTTTTGCTTCTTTTATTATGCACCAGTTTAGCAGCTCAAAAGGAATCAATGACTTTAATTACGATATTATTAAAAATAATACTGATAAAAACGCTGTAAATTAGTAAATTAATTTATTATTCCACATTTCATTTACGACAATAATAATAACTTCAGAGGAACAAAGTTTAGTTTCATTTGTACAAATACTTGATCTTGCCTAATTCAGATGTGAGAATTATGAATCTGAAATTAGTTTTGCTCCTGAAGCTACAGATTCTGTTTTTTTTTAAATGATATATTCAATCCATTTTTTGTCGAAATGTATAAGTTTTAACAAAACGTTATATTTAACAAGGTTTAGAATAAATACCGCAACAAAATTTTAGGGAAGTTACGGCACATTATCCAGCATCTCCTAGACGAGAGAAGGCCTCAGCGCGAATCTGTTTAGATGTCTGACGTAACGAAAATAAACTGCGCATTGGAGGAAAAATAAGAAACATTTCACTGCTTTCGGGCTACTAAGCTGCACAGTGGGGGAGAAATACAAAAGATATCATTAT